GACCCAACGACACTCAAAGCATTCCACCGGAATCCTGGGGTCCTGGTGCGGTTCGTGCGTTTCGGTTTCTCATGGGGGTGAAGTGGTCTGCCTGCAGTGCACAATCGTCTTGGGTTCCCTCGATCAGTCTCGTCCCGGCATATAACCTGAAGTTGACACTTGTTTTGTGTGTGTGTTTTTTTTTGCTTTTTTTTATTTCGTTCTCTTTGCTGCCGCGTGTAACTGCCGTGCAGGCTTCTCGCGGGCAGCAGGGAGGTACTCCCCGTAGTCCAGAGGGCAACGCTCAAGTGCTTCATGTTCCTCGTCTTCCTGCTAGGGGCGCGCATGATCTGGACAGCCACGCTGCGGGTGAGATAGATAGACGCATCGCATCCCTTTCGTGCTGACTTGTTTCGTTGGAACAGTGTTTTTTTGTGCGACACACTTGCGCGGGCGGGCGTGGGGGTCGAGAGATGATCTGGGAGAAAAAAGCGCCAATTTTGTTGTTGTTGGTCTGTTGTACGCGGAGAGTGAATCGGGTGATAGAGGCGCGTTCCTCGAACGTTCCGTCCGCAAGAATGAGATCAAGTGGATGTTGAAAGGGGGCGGGGGCGGGGGGTAATTTTCGCCCGCGTTGTTGAGGGCGGCCCGGGAAATCGTGCGCCTGTTCTTGCGGCTGTCTGTTGGTCATTATGGCGTTGCGGGGGGAGGTGGAGTACTACGCATATCTTTCCGTGTGACTACTGAGCGGCTAAATTGCACACAAGGTGCAGTGAAGCACCTCTGTCTCGTGTGCACATGGCAACGGCAGCGGCCGTTCGCATCTTGCCGGTCGTTGCGTACTATGAGCGCTGCGCTGTTGTTGGGTTATATGATGTAGATTACTAGAAAAATAGATGGCTAAATTATTTCACTGCCAAGATTGCGACCGTTCTCCAGCTGCATCGCCACAAATTGGTCATGGGCTCGGCTCGGGGGGTATGTCGTCGAGAAGGCCGTTGGTAGACACTTCAGTCGTTTTATCCAGGAATAATAATATTTGACATTGCTTGTGACGCCGAAGAGGACACATTACTGCGCCAACGACTGCTGGCTGCCGTGCAGAGAGAGAGAGAGAGAGAGAGAGAGAGAGAGAGAGAGAGAGAGAGAGAGAGAGAGAGAGAGAGAGAGAGCGAGAGAGATAGAGCGAGAGAGAGAGAGAGAGAGAGAGAGAGAGAGAGAGAGAGAGAGAGAGAGAGAGAGAGAGAGAGAGAGAGAGAGAGAGAGAGAGAGAGAGAGAGAGGGAGATAGAGAGAGAGGTAGAGAGAGAGAGCATCACTCACCATCACAGCGAACACTTTTTTTTTTTATGTTGATACCGGCGGCAGGTGGCGGGAGGGCTAGTACGCGGGGGCGGTGATGTAGGCGGCGGCGGCGGTGGTGGCGGGAGGGTGTCGCGGCGACAGGCGGCCTTGTCGATGGTGCGGCAGAGCGAAGGTTTCAGGTCGCTGGAAAGCGTGTTGGTTGAACGGCGGCGATATCTCAAGGAGATGGAAGCGCAGGTACATGCCTTACGTGCGTGTGGGCGGTTTGTTGCCATTGTTGTGCAAGGAAGCATCGCATCGCAAGCAGGAGTCAGCCCTTAAATATGTTTGTTTTCTTGGAAGCATGCGTGTTATCTTTGCATCGACCGAGCTCTGCGAGTGACCTATGAAAAATATGAGGGCAATGGGTGCGCGTGTGTTTCTATTTTTGGGACGGCAGGAAATGAGGTGGACTGCCTGACCTGCAGCTCGTTGTTCGGTCTTTTTTTTTTTTTCCTTTTTTTTGTCTTGACCACCGTGTGCCCGCGGCGTGTGTCGATGCGAAACACAGGACGAGCAGGAGCAGGAGACCCTGCGAAAGCTCCGGGGGGTCGTCCGAAGGATGGACAGCCAGATGCAACTTCTGCGGGAGCAGGTATGGGCCCCATCCCCCAACCTTGACCCCGATGCCAGTGAGAGTGAGCGAGGACAAAGAACAGGGAGAGTGTACCCCCCCACCCCCGCCCCTCCTGTTCCGGCAAGACGAGTTGTTTAATTGGTTGCTGTTCAATGGTGGAGTTTTGCTGGGAATTGCAAGGGTGCCTCAAAATATTCATTCCAACTTACGTAGGTGCCCATTTTTTTCTCAGTTGGGGAGATTTTTCGGGAGGGGGGGGACCGGTAGTCTAAATATTATTTTTATCATGATCCCCAGGTTTATGTTCGAGCGCCCGTATCCACGAGCTATGTAGGACCCGCTGTTGCGAACCCCCAGCGGTTATCACACAACACGGGTACAAAGCACGTCAAGAGGGCACGTATCTGGCAGGCTAAAAGTATTGGAAACGTGGTAGCATTACATCATAGTAGCACACGATATGTCCCCCAAGAGCAAGTTGCGTGAATTGGGCCCTAAACCCCAAGAAAACTAGATTGCCAACAACAAAGTATCGGCCCTCTGGGGGCGGGTGCGTGGGTACCTGTTTGTGCGGGTTGTCTTTTTACGGGCACCCGTGGGTGAGTGGTTCCGGTTGGTTGAAAGGATGGGTCAGTTTTGTTGGTAGCACGGTCCCTATGCTGGACTTGGTGGGAAGCACACTAGATAGGTACCAGGAAACGAAGGGAGAAATAAAGACGACAAAAGAAAATAAACAATCTCCCACGCGGATGTATGTATGTCGGAGAAATATGCGGTCAACGCGAGGCACCACAGCAATAAAATTATTTCGATGGCCTCGAAACGCGCGTCTGCCTGGTTGAGTACGGGGGCTTGATATTGATTTGCGAATCTTTTTTTCTTTTTCTTGCTTTTTCTCCAGGTATTCCGTAAGCGAGGGGAGTCATACGTTGCTATACGATGAACCCTATGCATAACAACATGAACAACGGGGAAAATAAAGACTCGCAAAAAAGAAACACAACACGGACGAAATAAACGGAAAAAAGGGAAACAAAGGAAAACGTGAAAGCTCCCACGCGGAGTTGAACCACGGACCTTACGCTTACTAAGCGTACGCTCTAACCAACTGAGCTATGAGAGCACTCTCTTGGATGTGGGACGTTGTGCTGTGCAGTCTATCAATAATAGTGCAAACGGGAGAAGAACGAGCAATACGGACGAAACTAAAGGAAAAAAGGGAAACAAAGGAAAACGTGAAGCTCCCACGCGGAGTTGAACCACGGACCTTACGCTTACTAAGCGTACGCTCTAACCAACTGAGCTATGAGAGCACTCTCTTGGATGTGGGACGTCGTGCTGTGCAGTCTATCAATAATAGTGCAAACGGGAGAAGAACGAGCCTGTCTCTCCAAGTACAGTGGGGATGACGTGCTGTATGTGTGTGTTTCATGTACCGTCAACCGCACTCATTAGACCGTCTACCAAGCAAGACGTCTATCGGTCAGTCTACAATATCTTTCTCTCCGTCCCCCTTCTGTCTCCCGATTCGTGTCTCGTATTTTCCCTTAAACCACCTCTCGGGGTATAGCTTGTCTGTCTGTTCTTTCACCGCTGCGATCCCGAAACGATCGATCTCCTTGTTCACATCACACAACCCCCTGTTGCCATTTTCTCTCCCTCTCGCGCGTGCGATGGCACGCAAAAGGCGGAGGCCGGGGTAGCGTCGCGCGGCGCTCCGGAAGACCCAGCGGCTTCCGAGTCGGTATCGCTCTCGCAGCTGGACGAGTTGAAGACCATGCGGGAGGAAGTCACCGTGCTTGCGGGATCCACCAGGTCGGAACAAAGGGTCCATGAAACCGCGCGTTGTTTTTTGTGTAGGAGATTTTCATGGTGTTATCTTGTCTATTTTTTTTTGGTAGTGGTTTTGGTCGGGATTCCTTTTGTGTTGGGACTGGAATATTCCCTCTTGTTGGTCGTTGGCTGCGCTATTGCTCGTTGTTTTCCCCCCCTGCCCCCCACCCCTCCCCCCTCCCTTCTTTTTCCCTCCCCCCCTGCTTCTCTTTCTCTTTTTGTGCCCCGTCTTGCCCGCCCCCCCCTCTTTTCTACTCTGGTCTTTTCCGCCCGCTCGTTGTTCGTGGTTGTTTTTTCCGC